TCCAGTGTCTATGGTCAGCTTACACGGCATTCCGTTGATCTCGCTCTTTATGATTAGGCTGTTACCATCATGGGTTTGTGAGGTCGAGATCCTGGGGGCTCTTTTAACATCAGCCAGCACCCGCCCCGCAGTTCTGGCTTTTACTCGTTTCCCTGCTGCTGCTGCTGGGCGGTGCTGTTGGCCGTACTACCCTCCTGAGATCGTTCAATTTCCCTTTCTAGGGTTCGCTTAGGGCAGCTGGATCGAAGATGGCCCTTTTCCCCACAGCCATAGCACCTTGGGCTGTATCCTTTGTTGCGGTCGCGCACTGTAGCTGCTGCAACCTCCCTGACGTGATGGGAACGATGATCCTGCCTCACGGCTTTCACTTCCAGTGCATGGGCCAAGGCGTCCTTAAGCGTCTCGTGGTGCCCGAGCCTCACAGCAGCTCTGACTTCCAGGTCGCGGATGCCGTCGATGAATGTCTGCACCAGGTTCCCTTCAATGAGCGCAGGTACAGACCGGTATGCTTTTCGCACCAGCTTCTCCACTTCTAGAGCCCACTGCTGCAGGTTTTCGTTGATGCGCTGCACATGATCTTTAAGCTGCGCACGAAAGACGTGTTCCAGGTGAGCGTCGCCATATCTCGCCTCCAATGCCTCAAGGAGTTGCTCATAAGTCACTTCCTCACCGAGAGCTTCCGTCACTGTTAAGGCCTGGTCGCGCAGGCCTAGTGTGAGACCAGTCATGGCCTGACTTTTATTCCAGCCGTTCGCCTTCATAACAGCCTCGAACTGGATTTTGTAGGCTGACCAGGAAGAAGTCCCGTCGAACGGTGGCACTTTGAACCCACGTAGCGAAGGTGTAGTAGCTACTACGGGAGCTGTAGTTCCATCACCCAGTTTGAGTTCGTCCAGTGATTTCTTCATGTCAGACATTACGTTGTCAACCCTATTGTTCACTTGGTCGATTCGGGTTTCAGCTTCCGACAGGCGGTTGTCATGTTGAGCAACCTTATCCTTCACCTCCCTTATCTCTTTCCCGAAGGTAGCGTGAATGTCCTTCATGAGGAGCATCTGCTCTTCCTTATCGCGCTTGAGCTGCTCTTCCAACCGACGGGCCTGTTCCTCCTGTCGGCGAGCCTGTTCATCCTGTCGGCGAGCCTGTTCCTCCTGCTGCTCTTTCAACCAACGGGCCTGTTCATCCTGTCGGCGAGCCTGTTCCTCCTGCTGCTCTTTCAACCAACGGGCCTGCTCCTCCTGTCGGCGAGCCTGTTCCTGCAGCATCACCATCAGAGCACCTAAGTCAGGAGCTGCAGAAGTAGGAGCTACTAACGGGCCTGCAGCCGGCGGCTGGTCCTCCGATGTCTCCGGCGTTACACCACCAAATCTTCTTTGGTCCGTCTCCTGCTGGCGTTGACTTCGGGTACGGACACCCTCCGTTTCCTCCTTAGGTAAAATCGGCATGATTTTATCCCACTTCTGACACCAATTGTTACGAGCTTGAGGTTCGTGACAATAAAAATTGCCGATAAAATTACCTAAATTAACACTTTAATTTACTTTACACAAATTAAAGTTAAAAACACTAATAATTAAACACACTAATTCACTTTATTCCGCTCCGAAGCTTCGCTTTTCTCGCCAAATGAACACTGCCACTGCCTCGATGCCTCGATCGCATCTTGCAGCGCCTATTTATATAAATTAGCAAAGAAGCATCCGGAATATTCAAGTAAATGCGCGCAAAGGGATGAGTGTGCGAGTGTAGATTTTCTAGAAACTTAGTTCTTCGGATGGCGCTGTCGGAAGGATTTGTAGTGTCATTTTCTGCAAAGCTCCCCTCGCTCTCGTTCCTGACACTAGATGGCGCTAGTTGACTTATTCACGCAACAATATTAATTGATCTATATAACATGCATGCTCCTATTAAAAAAGTAAAGCTAACGCGGCTGGCAGCACCTTGGATGACAACAGAGATCCGCGTTGTGATGAGGCGTAGAGACCGAGTCTTTCAGAAATATAGAAAAGTGCGGTGTGAGGAAAATTGGTCCATTTTTAAAACTGTAAGAAATCGGTGTAACCAGATGATACGCAACGCGAAACGCCGATATATTCTTTAACAACATCATATCGTCTTCCCCCCGCAGATATCTGGAAATTCCTTGGAACCATGGGTATTGGTAAGAAGTCACATTTCTGAGTTTCAGACGACAATTGGTTTGGATGATACCAATCAACAATTCTCTTCACATACACCTCTGGATCACCAAACCAAGTGTCAAACTGTTAATCAGTTAATAGGTTTACCTCGTCCTAATATCGCTCCTTTCCGCTTCTCTCCAATAGCGACGAATGAGATCAGGAAGGTTACACTCTCCATTAAGTCTAATGCTATTGGTTGTGACAATATCAGTCGCCGTATGATTATTAATATTATAGACCATCTCCTCCCTGCTATTTCCCATATAATTAACTTCTCTCTGGATTCTGGAGTTTTTCCGTCGCCGTAAAGCTTACATTATACCTCTGCCAAAAATTTCTAATTCTTCTTTACCTAATCACTTCCGACCTATATCCATTCTTCCCTTTTTATCAAAATGCTAGAGGCTTGTGTACACAAACAGCTATCACATTTTATCTTCTCGAATAACCTGTTAAGCTCATTACAGTCTGGTTTCAGGCCAGGTCATAGCACTGTTTCTGTGCTCCTTAAAGTCACTGGTGACATTAGGGTAGGCATGGAGGAAACTAAAGTCACAGTACTGGTTTTGGTTAACTTCTCTAACGCCTTTAATGCCATCAGTCACGACATCCTTTTATCAATCCTTTCACTTTCTATGATCTCATCTGAGGCTTTGGAGTGGTTCTCATCTTATATTCGAGGCCGCCAGCAGTCAGTTCGCATTGACGAGTCCTCATCAAGTTGGTGTGACTTGCATGCTGGTGTTCCTCAAGGCGGTATTCTATCTCCGTTGTTATTTTCAATATTTATAAATCTCACTACCCAAATCTTCAGTGTGCGTATCATTTGTATGCTGATGACTTGCAGTTGTACTCACACGCGAAGGTAGACTGTATATCTACAGCAATCGAGTCTCTTAATAGGGACCTAGAGTATATAAAGAGCTGGTCTGACAAGTTTGGCCTTAAAGTTAACCCATCCAAATGTCAGGCTATAATAATAGGTAGCTAACGGATTGTAAAGAAACTGGATCCCACAGCTTTACCGCTGATCATTTTTAACGGTTTTATTTTAGAACTGAGTAATACCGTGAAAGACCTTCGATTGCACATTGACTCCACCTTGAGCTGGCAAACTCAAGTGGCAAATGTTTGTCAGAAAGTGACAGGTATTTTGCGTTCTCTCTACCGCCTGAAGAACTTTCTCCAGTCCAGGACCAAGATGATTATTGTGCAGACCTTAATTTTTCCCATTTTTGACTATGGAGTGTGTTATTTTGACCTGAATGCAGAACTCTTAAACAAATATGACCGGCTTCTTAATAACTGCATTCGATTCATTTTTAATCTTCGAAAGTATGATCATGTGTCTACTTATTGCTCTCAACTTAACTGGTTACCCATTCGTCAGCGCCGTAGTCTACGTGCACTCACTACTCTTTACTCTACTCTTTTCTCTTTACTCTCTCTTTATCTTGATGTCTCCTAATCCTCCATCTTATTTAACTCCTCATTATCAATATCTTAGCTCCAACCATGACAGAGTTCTCCGTTCCAGTAATAACCTTTTGCTTCAGTGCCCACCTTTTAGTACTAACTATGTACAATTATCGTTCTTGTTTGGAACGCTCTTCCTACCGAAATCAGGAGTGCCGAAAACCGGATTTCGTTCAAGTCTAAAGTGCGAGAACTGCTCGTCAATAAAATGGCAGAATCAACTTAGCGTTCGTATTTAGCCGTGTTTAATATTATATTTAATTAATATATATATATATATAATAATTACCTCTTTTATCTCTGCACTACTCTAAGGTAGACTGGTAGATAATGCCTCAGGCATTAAGTCCGCCTAGATACATCTGTGTATATGAAGTTAAATAAATAAATAAATAAAAATATATTCATTTTAGAGTAATATATGTAACTTTTTTCATGATTTGGTATTTCAGCCCTAAAGGCTAACAACGCCATCTAACATGAGGTGACGATTGTTTATAACTTTTAAATTAATAAAAAAAAAAAAACCAATCAACTGCACAGCATTAATCGCAATACACACGTATTAGGGTAATGGCAGCTCAGGTAAGAACAGACTCATAAAATCTTCTTATGAGCCCAATTAAATCGGATTCGGCACTACTTTTAGGAATCAGAAGAGGCTTGTGTTCAGCGGAGGCATGTTTATAGAGGAAATGATTTGCTATTTTGTGTAATACTTACGCAATGCTAGAAACATAGGGGAAATCATAACATTGATGCCTTAATGGCAACAAATTATAACTGAATCTAAGCTCGCTAAGCTAAGTGATTGCGTGAACCAAATATAATAAGTAATTAATATCAAAAAAAAATAATATCCTAAAATAATTTATAAGTAAAATAGTAACGCCTAATTGTGAAAGTTAGCTCTACTGTGAGAATTATATTTATAATATCTTAGTATTTTTTATGATTACTAGATAAAATATGTAACTTTAGAACAATGTAAGTTTCTCATGTAAGTGAAATCTTTTGAGAATAAATGACTTTATAAATCGTGATTTACAGCCGCTATGCTGTTTGCTGTGCTGAGATATAGGGCAAATTTGCCGACCCGCCTGCAGAGTGAGACAACTGACAACTATGGCAGTATGATGGACTTGTATAGGATGTAATGCATGGATGTTACCTTTTTTTTTACAAATGTTAACGTTATTTCCATGCAGTACATCTTCCTCTCGCACGTATACTATATGTATACTGCTATAGTTGGGATACTGTTCGCAGAATACGGGCCGCACAAAAATGAACGTCACAGTCATTTCAAACAAGAGGAGACAAACAGGTATGGTAGCTTACTGAGCTCAGTGCCGTCCTTGTGCAGTACGACGCCGCGGTAGGTGCCGTCGCCGAGCGAACGCGGGCAATCGTGGCCCAGCCGCCCTCCCGCTCTGCTCTGCTGCGGCGTCGACGTCATCACGCTCATGTGGCTCCGCAACGCCCTCTTCACAACGCATGGAGTCTCCGGCGGATCGTCTTATCAACAATAACATCAACAATCATCATCAAGATCACACGTCACCGAGTACTCGAAATTCAACCGTAATTCATAACATATTTAAGTCTGTATATTAAGCCAGCGCTATTTCATTTTCAAATACACATTAAAACACAGATAAAACAAAGTATATTATATATAAAGTCAACGTGCAGTGGCGGCTGAGAATATCCATTACCGCGTATCTTCCCGTGGGTGTCGTAAGAGGCGACAGAATGAGGCCGACAGGAGATGAGCAGTAGCATCTTCCTGATAACAGCAATTATACAATAAGAAGCTGCGGTTGCCAACCCGCTCGCCATGCGTAGTAATTATGGAAAGAATCCCCCTATGAACAACAACACTAACAAACGAACCCCAGCCCCCGGCGACCCCGCTATTCCTGGCTACGGTGGCGACCGTGGTAACGGCGGGGCAGAGGTGCTAAGAATCTCCGGTGGAGGTTCGGTTGTCACCTACGACAACTCGACCTGGCAACATATAACGCACGCACCCTGAGGACTGACGAGAAGATACTGGAGCTGGAAGAAGAGTCCGAAAAGAGGGGGAGGGCACGGTAATCCTCGAATCCGGCAACTTGTTCTATCACCGGAAGGGCGACCATATGTCCCAAAGAGGTGTTGGATTTATCATCCACAAGTCTCTCGTCAACGTTGTAAAGATTGAGAGTGTGTCGACGAGGGTCGCGTACCTGATAATCAGAATCACCAAACGGTATTTGCTGAAGGTCCTACAGGTTTACATACCAACCTCAGCACATTCCGATGAGGAGGTGGAGGAAACGTATGAGCATGTCTCTAGAGCCGTTAAGTTGGACAGGTCTCGTTTAATGTAGTCAACGCTCCGTCCCCCTGGCACGCTAATCCGGGATCCCGAAAACATTCAGCTCGAATTATAAAACCGTTTTCAGTGCCTAGAAGACTGCAATACAGTGGACGATATGAATGACAAGCTCATGGCCACTACTGTCCATACGGTCGGGTCTAAGTTCTGCAAGAGCCGCCGCAGAAGAACACAAAAACTCTCCGATCACACTCTGACTGTTAGACGGGAGATGAGGCTGCAGTCGTCCGCAGATTTGACAGCATACAGAGAACTGAACAGACAGGTCTCCAAATACATGAGGCGGGACTTACGCAACTCCAGTACAGCTCGTATTGAAGAAGCGATCGAGCGGAACCAAGGCTCCAAAATTTTTGCCAGGGATCTGTCTGTCAGAAAGAGCCAACTGTCGAAGCTGAAGACTGAGTGTGGCAGCATCGTTTCCGTGACATCTGAGATTTTGATTGAGATTGAGAGTTGCTATGGACAGCCGTTCACGTCATCGTCGGAGCCACACGCAAGTGTGAGTAGCGATCCCAGAGAAAGTCTTATACGACACTATTCTGATGATATCCCGGACGTCAGTCTGAGCGAGATTAGAATGGCTCTCCAGCACCTTAAAAACGGCAAGTCCCTGGGCGAGGATGGAATTACAGCGGAGCTTCTGAAAGCGGGTGGAAAACCAGTACTTGAAGTTCTTCAGAAGCTCTTTAATTCTGTCCTCCATGGTGGCACCACTAAGGAGGCGTGGAGCGGAATTACGGTGGTCTTGTTCTTCATGAAAGGAGACAACGCTCTTGAAGAACTACAGACAGATATCCCTTCCGAGCCGCGTCTACGTGCTGTTCTCGAGAGTCATTACGAATCGTCTCGCATGCAGACTCGACGACTTCCAGCCTCCCGAACAAGCCGGTTTCCGAAAAGGCTTTAGTACCATAGACCACATACATACCCTTCGGTAAATTGTACAGAAGTCCGAAGAGTACAATCTGCCACTTTGCCTGGCATATGTGGACTATGAGAATGCCTTTGATTCCGTCGAAATTTGGGCGGTGCTACAGGTTCTTCAGCGGGGCCAAGTTGACTGTTGGTATACGAAATGCTGAAGTGTTTGTACAGTATGACTACGAAAGCTATCCAAGTACAGAATCTGAGTACGAAACCTATCCAACTGCAGAGAGGTGTAAGACAGGGTGACGTTATTTCCCCGAAACTCTTCACCGCTGCATTGGAAGACGTTTTCAAGCTACTGGATTGGAAAGGATACGGTATTAACATCAATGGTGAGTACATCACTCACCTTCTATTTGCCTACGATATAGTCCTTATGGCAGAATCGCTGGAGGACCTAAGCACTATGCTCAATGACCTCAATAGTGTTTCCCAACAGATAGGTCTTAAGATGAACATGGACAAAACAAAGATCATGTTTAATGTCCATGTCACACCTATGCCGGTTGTTGTTGGGAGCACTATGCTCGAAGTTGTTTACGAGTACGTTTACCTGGGACAAATAGTACGACTTGAAAAGTCCAACTTCGACCGAGAGGTCAAGTGACGGATTCCACTCGGCTGAGCAGCGTACGGGAAATTACGACAATCTTCTCGTCAGGTATACCTCAAAACCTGAAAACTAGATTGTACAACCAGTGCGTGTTGCCAGTGATGACTTATGGATTTGAGACGTAGTTCTTAATTGCTGGCCGTATAAGGACATTGAAGGTCGCAACGAGCTATGGAGAGGGCTATGCTCGGGGTTTCTCTGCGTGATAAACTTAGAAATGATCAGGTGGCTCAGGACCGTGCTTTGTGGTATTCCTTGGAGGAAGCCTATGTACAGCAGTGGACTTGTGAAGGGCTGTAATGATGATGATGAAAGTTAACGCTTTTTTGCCTTCACATCACTCTAGACAGACTAATGAAAAGGATCATTAGAAATCACACAAAATTCACAACTCGTTTAATCACATATCAAATACCCAGACCGGTGTGAACAAACACCGTTAAAGTTACGAGATTTTTAGTGTAAGCTCTCGATTTTGCGGACTAATAAAAAAAAGAAGGAAAAGTGTACAAACAGCGCCAACCTTCGAATTTCTTTCTGGGTGCCGATTCAGTCTGGGTTTCTAAATCAATGTCGTTACTTAAACTGTCCACACTTTCATTCCCGTTATGTTTCGGCAGATCCTCAATTTCGCAACCAGGCAGTGGCATCTCGTTAATAGGCGTAAGAAAGTCAGCACTTGTTTCATTTGAATCACAAAAGTCTAGTGATATACTGCTTCTGTCTTCCTTAGTTTGGTTCACTTTTAAAGATTTGTATTTACTAGAATCGAAGGATAACCGTAAAGATGGATCATTTAAACGTACTCTAGGTGTACTCCCGGTAGGTGTTAACTCCTGAGAATGCTGTGATGTGTAATAAATGGATTCTGACGGTTTGGGAGATATTTGTTGGCTAGGGTTACTACTTTGTTCTGAACGTAGTATGTTTTCCGATCGAGACTTCGAGATGCTACTATGACAATAGTTTTCATCATCTATGGATATTCCTGACATTCCAGATGTCATGTCTGGAAGTGCTGAAGTGTCATTTCTCTGTTCAGTAGTACTAATACTTGAGACCATGTCTTGTGTCGGTGTTGGTGTGTGAGTGATCAGGCTGCAAGATTTGTCGAGGCACAGTGCACTGGATGACTTCTCTCTTGTTGTGGAAATTGATTGCATAGATTGTTGAACATTAAGAGACATACAGGCCGATTTCTGGCTACCATTAAATGCTCCACAAGAATCTTCATCTGTGTCAGAAACTGAAAATCAATTTTAAAAATTAGGTTAAAAGTTAAACTATAGTAAAATTTTGTTGTTTTTTAAAGTCTTAGGTTTTTTCATACAATATATTAAAACATTAATATTATTGTTAGGTATAATTAAAAAAATCACCTCTGTACATAATATGGCACAATAGGCAATATTTGCAGTACCTTGTCTATCGGTAACAGCAGTAAAATACTATTGGTTAGGCGATTTTATAAAAAAATTTTTGATGAGATCTGGTAAAAAAATCTAGAAAGGTTGAAATATTACAGCAGCATGAGCCAAATTTATTAATTATTTTATATCAATTTATTAATAATTTACCACTTACTGGTAATATGATGTTGAAGAGAATTTCCAAGTTACTTTCACATTGTATTAAATAAACAAATTTTGAGCCATTTCGTTACCAGCATCCAATGAATAAATATACCCATGCAACAATATTTTTTTTTTGTACACATACCTGATCCATTGTTTCCATTATTGACAGGTGATAGAGTCATATTTCTACTCCTATCAGACACTTTAACCATGTCTGACTCTCGGCAGAAGTTCGGAATGACGTCATTGATGTGATGGCCGATGACATCAGAGAGTGACTTGCCGAAAGTCAGCATAGCGAAGTGTTGGTTACACGCTGTTATGATACCCGTTTCGTCAACGACGAGTAGACCGCTCACGTTAAATGTTACCTAAATGATGGTTTAATAATATTAATATTTTATTTATTAATAACACACTTTATTTGAGTGTGGTCTAATATTGAACTCAGAAGATGTTCATTTCATCATAAAATGAAAAGGTGGTGTATCCACACAAATATTCAAAAGCCGTAGTAGCGCATTTCATTGTATTCAAGTAATTTTGTTATAATTCTCAACAAAATTAGGTATGTACACTACACTACCTCAGAAATTATACTCGCTGACACATATTCTAAAAATTATATAGTATTTCGCACCATTACCTACACTACAAATACAGTTAATTACAAGATATAAAAAAAAACAAAAGCAATCTAACAATGTCATTTTTATGCTTTGTTGGGTTTAGTTTATAATATTTAAAATATCCATTTCTGCTACATTTGAACAAATTTGTGATCTACAATTGTAATTTTATATGCGGTGATACATACCCGAACATTCACAATAAATACAGATCTCTCCCTGCTCTTTACGCCTGACCAAGGTGAGCTTTCAATATTATTTGATTTTGCTATCCACAGGCAGAGTGGAAATGAACCACCATCTAAGGTTCTACCTGTAATTTTAAGATACAAAAATAAAATATATAAATCAGGAAAACACAAAACATCGGTAAGATGAAGTGGCAATAGGTTGATCACATAGCTTGAAGTGCCGATTACTGATGGGGAAAAAGGTTCTCAATTGGCAACCTAAATGTGTCGGGCAGTCTCTCTCTAGATGGAGGTACGACCTGGTGAGATGATAAATGCAGGAGGATCAGGACCATGTTCTTTAATATCTTGGAATTTAATCAGGAGTGGACTTATGTTTAACTTAAATTTTCGCCATTTAACAATCTCATAAAGTAAACTATTCTAATAAAAAAATAAGTAAAATAAAAATCCATTCAATGACCAGCTGTATAATTATAACTTCGCGAAAAGTATGGTACGGCTGTGCCGCTGTTTTGCTCGACTTGGCGGGGGCACTGCCGTACCCCCAGATATAGCTGTAGTTAATCCAATAGTAAAACGCGAACTAATATTAGGAGTCACTCAGTGTATATTTAAATCATCTACACAATCTATTTATTTTTTCTTAAAAATTGATATCACTACACTAGAAATTATTTTGTATTGTGGGTTTGTGGCAGATCTGGGATAGTACTTAATCATAAAAAGATTGAAAAGTGCAGGCTCCAAAGTTAGGGGTCAGATCGATAGTAGTTAATTAAAAAAGTGCAGGCTGCCAATAGAAAGGGTCAGATCTGGGATAGTACTTAATCATAAAAAGATTGAAAAGTGCAGGCTGCCAATAGTAAGGGGTCAGATCTGGGATAATACTTAATCATAAAAAATGCAGGCTGCCAATTAGTAAGGGGTCAGATCTGGGATAATACTTAATCATAAAAAGATTGAAAAGTGCAGGCTGCCAATAGTAAGGGGTCAATCAAGAACTATCCTACTAGGTTGTAGGGACCTTTCTGCCTAGAAGTTTCTTTAGGTAGGTACCGCCCTCCTACCTGTCTCTGCTCTCATCAGCAATGTGTGCACTGCTGTCTTATCTGATAGAGATAAAGAGCCAGTATAATTTCAGGCTAAGAGGTGTTCATCTTAGTTCTCAGCAATGAGAATACATCTCTAACCTTCCTTATTTGAAGTTGGTTGCAGGTGTTCATGGGCTGCAATAGCCACATGCCATCAGGTGGACTGTAAAGTCGTTTGCCACTTTTGTTTTACAAAAAAAAAATATCCAGAAATATATTGTTGATTACCTGTAGCCTTTTGTTTGGAGATATTCTTTGAAATTGGTGCATCATAAGTTGGCAATTGTATGGAAGGTATGAGAGAGGCGATGGGTAAGCCGATTAACTTCTCGGCCGAGTCGGCTTGGAACAGCAGAGCAGCATCACCACCATCGCAAGACACTATGATACCTGTCTCTGCATCCACAGTCAACTGCAATGATCCATTAAAAATTAACATATGTTTGTAGGTATGGTTTCTGTTAAAATTATGTTATTAGTATAGTATACTTATAGTATTGTTACGAACTTGAGATTCGTGACAATAACAAATTATTAGGGGGGGGGGGGGGGTGAGTGGATAAAATTTAAATTTTCTGTATAACGTGTATATGCCGATAGATAAAAGTACTCCATTAATTTTGCTAATTTTTTTAGCTAAAATGATTGAACTAAATGAGCGAGGTGTCATATCATGTCGTGCGGCAGAGACGCGTGATATACGCGGGTGAAACCGCGGGGTACAGCTAGTCCAAAATATAGTTGCAGCGTGGCTCCACCATATATATTAACCAGGTTCCCTTCAATGAGCGCAGGTACAGACCGGTATGCTTTTCGCACCAGCTTCTCCACCTCTAGAGACCACTGCTGCAGGTTTTCGTTGATGCGCTGCACGCGATCTTTAAGCTGCGCACGAAAGACGTGTTCCAGGTGAGCGTCGCCATATCTCGCCTCCAACGCCTCAAGGAGTTGCTCATAAGTCACTTCCTCACCGACAGCTTCCGTAACTGTTAAGGCCTGGTCGCGCAGGCCTAGTGTGAGACCAGTCATGGCCTGACTTTTATTCCAGCCGTTCGCTTTCATAACAGCCTCGAACTGGATTTTGTAGGCTGACCAGGAAGAAGTCCCGTCGAACGGTGGCACCTTGAACCCACGTAGCGAAGGTGTAGTAGCTACTATGGGAGCTGTAGTTCCATCCCCAAGTTTGAGTTCGTCCAGTGATTTCTTCATGTCAGCCATTACGTTGTCAACCCGATTGTTCACTTGGGACGGTTTTCGATTCGGGTTTCGGCTTTCTCGATTCGGGTTTCAGCTTTCGCGATTTGGGTTTCAGCTTCTGACAGGCGGTTGTCCTGCTGAGCAACCCTATCCTTCACCGCCTTGATCTCCTTCCCGAAGGTAGCGTGAAGGTCCTTCATGAGGAGCATCTGCTCTTCCAACCGACGGGCCTGTTCCTCTTGTCCGTCCTGCAGCTGCTCTTCCAAACGACGGACCTGTTCCTCTTGTACGCCCCGCAGCTGCTCTTCCAACCGACGGGCCTGTTCCTCCTGTCAGCGGGCCTGCTCCTCCTGCTGCTCTTTCAACCGACGGGCCTGCTCCTCCTGTCGGCGAGCCTGCTCCTGCAGCATCACCATCAGGGCACCTAAATCAGGTGCTGCAGATGTAGGAGCTACTGACGGGCCTGCAGCCGGCGGCTGTCCCTCCGACGTCTACGGCGTTGCACCACCAAATCTTCTTTGGTCCGTCTCCTGCTGGCGTTGACTTTGGGTACGGACACCCTCCGTTTTCTCCTTAGGTAAAATCGACATGATTTTATCCCACTTCTGGCACCAATTGTTACGAGCTTGAGGTTCGTGACAATAAAAATTGCCGATAGGATTACCTAAATTAACACTTTAATTTTCTTTACACAAATTAAAACTTAAAACACCAATAATTAAGCACACTAATTCACTTTATTCCGCTCCGAAGCTTCGCTTGTCTCGCCAAATTCAATACTTCCCCGATCGCACCTTGCAGCGCCTATAAATACACATTAGTACCGAATCATACAGAACATTCAAGTAAATACGCGCACCAATCGACAAAGCGCCGAAAGTTCGAGAGTCAGCATCCAGAAGCTTAGTTTTTCATTTCGACAACAGATGGCGCCGTCGGTTGAAAGATTAGTGATGTCATTTTCTGGAAAGCTCTCCCCTCGCTCCGTTACCCGACACTAGATGGCGCTAGTGCCAGATGTCAACTTAGCCGCACAACAGTATGTTAGCAGTGTACCCAGATAAGTAGGCAGTGACTACAGACTTCTATTTGGCACGATCCTGACAGACCTCTCGCCTCCTTCACATCCATATACCTACACATATATGCTCGTCGGTTAAGGGTACTCCTAATTTGGCCCGTTTTCAATAAATCGCTAATTTGGTCGATGAATTTTCGCCTAAGACGTCCCTGTCCGACTCCGCCATTCACTTCCGAAACATAAATTTTCTTTGTCACTCTTTCCTCACGCATTCACATGACCAAACCACCGAAGCATTCCTTTCCTAATCCTGGTCACAACATGCATCTTTTGGTAGTATAGTAAATAGTAATACATAATTAAATAAATTATTTTATTGAATGTTGTTACAAAGAAAATCTACTCAATACAAGTATGTTTTCCTAACCGTGAGTTTGCACTGACGCGATTTTCACAAAACAACATGTTTTAAACACTGTTTTCTGTCAATGTATCAAAAAACGTTTGCATAGTCAAAGAACATGTAGTGAAATATGTTTGACAGTTTATTGTACATTACATATTTTAACTATATTATATCTTTATAAGTACAGAAACAAAATGTTTGAAAAGAAATTTGTAGAAATATTGTCATGTTGAAAGATAAGTTTTAATATCTGTTAAAAATTTTACACAGTTTTTGTGAGTGCGAACACCACCATCAACAAAACATGTTGTGTGCTTAATTTTATGCGATTTGTTTCAAAATATTACGTGTTGGATGTTTCTCAGTGCAAACGTACTGTAATAACAACTAGAAAATAAAATATTGTTGTTATCATCATCTGAAAGGTAAGAAAGACCAGATATATGAGATTTTGAGTTACATTGACAAGTTTTACCAACAGAAGATCTATGTGAGTGGCCTATGTTCAGCAGTGGTCTTCAATAGACTGTAATCAATGATTCTTAAATGGTAGAGCCACGATGCAGTTATATTAGTAGTATAGTTGTAGCATGAATAGGTTGGCTCGACCGGGAAAGACCACACTCTCACAGAACACCAGCGTAAAATAGTAGGATAATGCTGCTGTGTTTCATATGGTGAGTGTAGAGAACCAGAGACCCTTTTTACTGGAAACGAGGCATTCCATCTTAGTTCTTACGGGTGACAATGCATTTGCATTGCGATTCTAAAAAAAAGCCTAAAGCAAGGATAGATGTAAATGTCTATGGGCCACAGCAACTACTTACCATCAGGTGGACTGTGTGTTCTTTTGTCACCCTATCCTATAAAAAAAAGAGAAAAAACCTTATGTGAATGGGCCTCATGCAGTATGGAGGAGTTGCCACAATCGCCAAGCTTGGCTCAAAGTAGTGGCTTTTGCAGTACTAGACGTCTTGTAAGGGCTTTACGTCTAGCGTAAATAGATATTTCTCTTAAGCGTTCCTTATATCTCGCACTTGTTGGATGAAGTTTAGTGATGGATTTTCCTATCATAAATCGCAAGCATAATATTTAGATAATATATTAGTTTTCAATATTCCTTTTCTACAGTATTATTTGCAGCGATTATAAAGACATTTTGAAGTTAGTTATAAATATATTTACCACTACATTTTTGCAGCTGACAGGTTCTGCAACAACCAAGCAGGGTCCATCATTGTCCAACTGTCTTATCCACAAAGAGACTTGCACAGACGTTCCATCTTTGGTTAGGAGTTCCACCACCTAAACAGTTAATTCCAAATAATTTCTATGAAAACATTTTTTGATGAATTTCATTGCAGATTCTTCTTAACGACCTTTGTATAGCTTAAAATATTGGCAGTGAGAAAACTTACCATGAACAAGAAATTTAGCCAAATTAATACTTTAAATTGTTTAAAAAATAAATGTAAGTACATGATGACAAACTTTTGGCAAATATTACAGTAGACACAGGGCACAATCTACCACACTGTTTTACATATGTGTGCTATGTTTGTACAGTAGCTACAAGGGTTATTCAAATACGAAAGCAGAGTATGAAACCTACACAAACATATTTTAATGAGTTATGAAAAAGATAATAGTATTTTCATAAAAATAAGACCTTTCATATTTGCCATATATATCACAACATGGATTTTGGTTTCAAAATCCAGATAAAGCAAACATTTGATCCAAAACAAATTTTTGAATTTTTCAGGTCTTAAATTTAATTAAATTGCAAGCTAAACACTAATTTAAATACATTATAAAATTTTAGAATTTGTACCTTCCCACTAAGTAAAACAATAGTTCCATCTTCCGATGCATCACCATCTTCTTGTTCATGTAAACTAAAGGTCTTACAATTTCTGTTGCGGAGAAGTTCAGAAAAGCGGAGACCACACAATTCTCCTGATGAATATCCCAAAAGAGAGCATGCTTTGTTGTTTACTATGAGTATCTGAAATATTAAAATAATTATGATAGGATCAGCTGCCTCATCTAATCTAATCCTAAGTTACTGTATCATTCATTTTACCATATGTCATGCAAAACCATGCTTAAATGTTAAATTTTTATTTTGTTTGTAATGAAACATAGTCAATGACCCAAATTTGATCAGTATTTCAATAAGTACATGGTTTTAAATAGGGAAATTATCGAATGGCAGCCTCATACAGGTAGGCGAGAAGTGTAGGGAGAACCCACACTAGATGGAGTGACGACCTGGTAAGATATGCAGGAAGTCTGTGGATGCAGGTGGCTCAGGATCATGCTTTGTGGCATTCCTTAGGGCTACTGGAAGCTATTGTACAGCAGTGAACTTGTGAAGAGCTGTAATGATAATGGATTTAAAACAATGAAGAGAGACAGAGTTGTGGTACAGATGAACTTGCATTTACTATCTTTAATTGTTTGATTTTAAGAGATTTTTATGATTTAGCCAGCATAATTACAGGTTGTGTGGTATTCCAACTCAGTCTTAAAAGTGACAATGCATCTATAGCTTTTTTGTATTGAAGTTGACTGCAAGTGTCCATGGACTGTATTTAGCCACTTACCATTAATTGGGTTTTGGACTGTAGGTTTGTTTGTCACTTCAGTTTCACAAAAAAAACTTGTTTACCTTAAAAGTACTTGGCTCTATGGTAAATACAGCCTTGCTTGGATTGATGGATTGCTGCAAGCGTTCAGTTTGAGATTGTGCTGGTGATCCAGCAACATCACCTACTGCTAGAGAAGTGTTGAAGCGGAGGCCATTTGGACCATCAACTGAAAATGTTGAAATACATGTAATATGGTAAAAAAAATTTGTAATATTTACTTTCTTTTACTAACAGTAAGACACGTCAATTAAATAACAAAAATACTAGTGTTGCTCGATCAATTTTTGTTGATGAGTTTGTTTATTTGGAATGCGTATTTAGCAAGGATGGGAGATATGATATGGATATAGAACAACGAGTGAACACTCTATTGTGGAAAGTCAGAATGTGAAAAAAGGCACGTATGGCAATTCACAATGCTGTGTTAGTCCTTTACTTACTTGAACTTTAACATATGTTAGTGAAAGTTTGATGTGGCAGAAGAAGCACGAGAGTAGAATAAACGCAGTAGAAATGCGGTCGTTAAGGAGTATATATTGTTAGCGTGGAATATTTTAGATCTCAATGTGGAATAGACTTGGTGATAATATGACCTGATTCGGACTAGTAGATTTTGAGAAATCATAAAAATAAAATTTTGAAAAACTGTTTTTTTTTTTGGAATAACTTTTAAATGACTTTATCAATCAATTTCAAAAACTAATCAGCTCTTAACCTCAAAAAATGACGTCAAATGCCGTTTGGAAAATAATTTTTTTTTAACATAACTACCAGGTTTCGCAACATAATTTGGTGAAATTTGGAGCGCTTTGCATTTGAAATTAGCGAGAAGTTCCAGGGATGGCCTGCAGGGTCAACCAATTTTTTTTTATAGAAGAAAGGTCATGCTACACCGAGTCGGGTCCGAGCCGAGTGTCGGCCGTAGCACTGTCACCGAGCCGGTCCCATGACTGAAATTACAAACACGGGCCTCGACCGAGCAATAACCGTTGCGCAGTTATGCAGTATACTCGTTCGAGCAAAAATAGTGTTATAACTAGACTACAACCATGTTGAACTTTGACAATCTGGCATTAGCGGCTAATGAGATCGCTCCGGACGATGAAGAATCTGATAAATCTTCAACTACAAGCCAGAACAGAGTTGTTGCTGAGCGTTGACTGTAGCTCAGCCGTCACTCGGCTGCCGCTCGGTATAGCGTGTGTGTGTCTATACAAAATATATGTAATATTAGTTGACCGTGCTACGGCCGACACTCGGCTTGGACCCGACACGGTCTAGCGTGAGTCAACCTTAAGAGTGACAAACGAGCTCACAATCCACCTGATGGTAAGTGGATGCTGTGGCCCATAAACATCTACATTTATCCTCGATTAAGAATCAAAACGCAGATGCGTTGTCACCCCCTGAGGACAAGGATGGAATGCCTCGTTTCCAGTAAAAAGGGTCACCGGATCTCTACACTCACCATACGAAACACAGCAGCAGTATTAAGCTGCTATTTTACGCTGGTATTCTGTGAGAGCGTGGTCCTTTCCCGGTCGAGCCGACCCATTCGTGCTAGAACCGTAATATAGCTGCAGCGTGGCTCTACCACGTATATCTGAGTGACAGGGAAAGAAATTGTGTGATTAGAGGAGTGTGGTTTGCAATATGATATTGTGACCAGGAATATGAAAGGAATGCTTCGGTGGTTTGGTCATGTGGAAAGAATGAATGAGGAAAGTGTGACAAAGCAAATTTATGTTGCAGAAGTGAACGGCAGAGTTGGAAAGAGACATCCTAGGCGAAAGTTTATCTACCAAATTGGCGATATATTGAAAACAGGCCAAATTAGGAGTACCCTCACGTGTCAGCATCGTGCCAAATGGAAGTCTGTAGTCTCTGCCTACCCCTCTGGATGACAGGTGTGAGTGTTTATGTAGTATATTATAATGTACTAAGTGTTGGCAAATACACTCCTGTATTGCAACCTTAAATAAATTTACATTAGTGTCAGTATAGCTCCAAACTAGGACAAGCCCAAGATATAAAATGATAAAAATATAGATTGTTGTTTTAGCAGTTTTATAAAAATACACCAATCTTGATCTGTCTCCACTCTTCAGTTTCATATTCAGTGCTATCAGACGTGTTTAACAAAGTACACAGAAGGCATACTACTGCTAGATAGATTGTATTACATATCAGCAATTGTATAGCTTCAGTGGCTTTGAAGAAAGCCGTTTGGGTTTGTTTGAGCGAAAAAAAAAGATATTTACATACGATACAATACATGAACAAAGTACAAACAAACTATCTAAAAAAATAAATTATTTACATTCTAAATGGAATCGTCTCTCTTTCTTAAGAAAAGATTTAATTACGTCCACGTAAAATGTTGGTGAACGTTTTAATTGTACCAATAACTGTTTTTTTAATTGCGATAATTGATAAGTCTGTAATACAATCTTGACCTTGTGTATTACCTCAACAAAGTTTTACCAAGATTTCAAGATTCAAGATTTCAAGATTTTACCTTTTCCTTTCCGATTAGCTCTTTAACACACTTGAATTCATCACAAGGAACACTATTATCCTCCATTTTCACTAAAAATCTTTAAAAAAGCATAAAGTTTCAACTCGCAATATTAAATCTCTTAAGATAAACACACAGAGTAAATAAACATTGAAATGTGAAATGAACTTGCAAACGTATTGCCCGCGCACCTCCGCTCTCAACAACTTCATTCTTAAAGCCTGGCTTTAACTCTCTATACTAATTGCTACATATACAATCGTAGTTATATATCATTATAGAATATTTTGCCATAGGTAAGAAAGAGTGATCGTCTTCTCGAAAGCCCCGTAAAAAGCCCACGCGAGCGAGAGAGACAACTAATCGCTCTATTAAAACTTATTTTTTATGACAGCAGCAGTATCGCTAAGGCAATACAAGGTGAACTGTCGAACAGTGGAGTGCGCGGGAAATTTGAAATAGTTTGAAACAGTTTACGAGTTATTTTATTAGTTGATATTATTGATTGATTCAGTTTGATAAGGCAAGCCCGGCTTTTCGGCTTCTATGGAGGCTTCGCCACAGATTAGTGTATCTAAAATCTTCACCAACTATTTTTCCACACAAACAAAAAATTGTTTCTTTAAATATAATATATGGGACCACCTAAAGTATACCCTACCTACCTTTAATTTATTTAATAAAAAATAATCTTTTAAATAAGTTTGTTTCTGGGAAATTAGTGAGCATATTTTAAAAATAAACATATACTGCATATTTTACACATGGTACAGCCGTGCTGCAGCTATATTAGGATTTTAGTGCGAATGGGTTGGCTTGATTGGGGTAGGACCACACTCTAACAGAATAAAACAAGAGCGAAATAGCAAGTTAACGCTGCTGTTTTTGTATGGTGAGTGTAGTGAGTGTAGAGAAACAGAGACCCTTTTTATTGGCAATGAGGCATTCCATCTTAGTCCTCATGGGTGACAATGCGTCTTCATTTTTGAGAGGTTAAGCAGACTATCAAGTGGACTGTGCTTGTTTGTCAGTTTGTTTTATAAAAAAAACACTGATTTGTAAAAACTTTTCATTTTTCTGAACTTGGTTAAAAATAAAATATTTTTCAAGATATAGTAGCGTTTCTGACTTAAGATTCACTAACAGACATTTGCATTTGTCAGCTTTTCTCCAATAAAGCCACGACAACTCACTCAGTTAACTGTTTAATCACTATGTTTGTTGTTTAATTTCACTCTTAAATTATATATAATACTTTATAAACACTATACTTTACTTTCACAAAGAAGACTATATATTAATTTAACTTTACTCACAATCCTTATAATCACCTTATTTCACAATAGACTTGACTATTATAATCTTCTCAGCACCACTGTTCGTAATCAACTGCCGGGAGCGTCAAGTGTACGCGCTTTTATAATGTGACTCACTTTTATATTAGAATTAATGTAGGTAGTTTGAAATGGATTCATATTAATATTAATTGTGGAGATGGCTAAGTAATATTGCATAATGATCATTTATCTAACACTCGACTAATCCTGACACTAGACGCGTCCCCGCGTAAAAACAGTATCAAAGATATTAGGTTTTAAATTAACAATAACTCTAACAACTCTAATTACTAATTTATTTCCACTGACTAAATAGTACCATTCGACATCGGTTTTCTCTTTAACTCTAAAGAATGCTGTTGCATAGAACGGTCCACACTGATACCATTCAGAACCAGCTCACTCTTGAACTCTAAGAAGTGCCGTTGTGCAGAACAGTCCACACCGATACAATTCAGTAATGGCTCACTTTCTTATATCTAATGAATGCCGTTGCACAGAACCGTCTCCACACTGATACCATTCAGTACCAACTCACTCTTTAACTCTAAGAAGTGCCGTTGCGCAGAACGGTCCACACCGATACAATTCAGTAATGGCTCACTTTCTTATATCTAATAAATGCCGTTGCACAGAACGGTCCACACTGATACCATTCAGTACCAGCTCACTCTTTAACTCTAAGAAGTGCCGTTGCGCAGAACGGTCCACACCGGTACAATTCAGTAATGGCTCACTTTCTTATATCTAATGAACGCCGTTGCACAGAACCGTCCCCACACTGATACCATTCAGAACCAGCTCACTCTTGAACTCTAAGAAGTGCCGTTGTGCAGAACAGTCCACACCGATACAATTCAGTAATGGCTCACTTTCTTATATCTAATGAATGCCGTTGCACAGAACCGTCCACACTGATACCATTCAGTACCACCTCACTCTTTAACTCTAAGAAGTGCCGTTGCGCAGAACGGTCCACACCGATACAATTCAGTAATGGCTCACTTTCTTATATCTAATAAATGCCGTTGCGAACGGTCCACACTGATACTATTCAGTACCAGCTCACTCTTTAACTCTAAGAAGTGCCGTTGCGCAGAACGGTCCACACCGATACAATTCAGTAACGGCCCACTTTCTTATATCTAATAAATGCCGTAGCACATACCGGCCTTAAAGTGTAATAATTATTCATATCTTCATGCATTATCTATTATGTTTTATTCATAAAGATTATACACAACAGAGAGTTATCATATAATAATAATATAAATTACTATTGTATTTTTCACTCATATGTTTGTATTGTAT